TGAAAAAGATCTGGGTTAGAACTGGTCTCCAGCAACTCATGCATGTACGATTTCACTAATGGAATCGGGTGGTCAGGTGTAATTGATCTGTTACACAGGCCGATGCTTATAATGTCAGTTACAGGATTGTCTGATCCAGACTTGATTATTGTTTCGACACAAGCGTGTTTGACTGTATATGCACTGATACATTGATCATGTTTAGATCAAAACTTAAAAAACTTTAAACTAGAAAATTATATGTTTCAAGTTAAAAAATAATCACAATAGGACTGGTTCTAAAGGTTTTATTTACAGTACTTTGTCCAAGTTTCCAATGACTACAGCTTAGTTAGTTGAAAATTTCAGTATACTGGGATGCTTGGTTCTAGAAATTCCATTGTCTCATCCCATATATGTTCTCTTCTATCACTGACAATTTGTGAAGCCCATTTCTGGTGTCCCCCGCCGTGATATTGCTGGAATATTGCTAAAAATGGCGTAAAACCATAGTCAGTCAGTCAGTCAGTCTATCACTGACTTAAAGATGTCAGATGATGAATAATAAAGTGTATTTGCTAAATGAACAAAAAAATATGAAAAACTCAATTTATCTACAACATTATTTTTTTATATAAATTTGCCATTTTGAAAATTCCATGTATTTATGAGAAGTTTTACAGTAATGTTTTTGTTCCTTTACTGTACAAGGAGACGTTTGAATGGAACCACATTTCTGCACTATCTACCTGCATACCAGCCATATTCTATATTTCATATGTGATCATTTCACTTAATACCTCTCAGCTTATGTATGACAAAACATGGCACTGATCAGTAAGTAGATATATTCCTATCCTGTAAGAGATCATGTCTATTGGCATTAGGCTGTAAGTACCTTGTTGAAGAGAGACGTGACACCAAGCACTGTGTAACACTGGTTCGTGTATGTAATTATTTATCCAGCTCTCATCAGCCTTGGCTGTACTTCAGCACATTGTGCAGCGAGGAAACCTTGCATCATGATTGATAGCCACGCTCATGACACTTGACTCATGTATTGTTTCAAGATGTCACCACGAATTTATAATTGAATTTCAAGAAAAATGACATGGGGTAAAAAGCTTAAAGACGTGAATGTGATGAAAAAGGTAATAGTGTCAACCATTTGCTAAACAACTTGTGACATCGAGGTTTGGTTTCTGCTGCGTAAGTGAAAAGTTGAGACGTGGATGTGTTGGTTATGGAAATAGAAGTTGACAGCTCAGCATTGGCTTACAGTGACTGTTATAATGCCTTGACATATTGTCCAGTGTGATTCTACTGAGAGCTGTGGAGTAGGTTGAATATTAGGAATGGTTAGAAAATGGGGATTAATTTGGCAGATCAACATTGACTCGCAGTGACTGTTATGATGCCTCGAGGTATTTTCCAGTGTGAATCTACAGAGAGATGTAAAGTTGGTTAAAGAAAATGGACAGTTGGAAAATAGGAGAAATATTAGGTACTGTGAAAGAAAAACAATACTTGGGTGATGATATCCTCAGTGGATCAGCTGTCAGTAGCGTTACGTGTATGTGTGTTAATGAGCCCTGTTGCATCAGTTAGACCCAAAGTTCGATGTGTTGTGTGATTGTGTCATCATGGATGATGCCATGGTGACGTTTTGTGCACAAAAACATTTATACATATATCCGAACAACTTCATGTAAGGTAAATAATTGTAAAACATCCATCGCGTAAGCAGTTGTTCTATGCTATTGAAAGGGTTGCTTGACTCTTGAAAACTGCCAGGCAATGTAATGATGTTAACAAATGATGAAATAAAAACAATGATCCAATAAATATCATCTTAATTCTCTTCAAGGAACTAATTTTTCGAAATAAGTTTAACAACATTATGCCATCTTTTCAACATAAACTGTTTGAATATTATATGTTTACAAAGTGTTCGTCAATAATTAGTTGTAATATCGATGCTTTCTACACGTTCTGGTCGTCATGCCATGATTTATTCTGCTAAAACTATTTGTTTGTAGAAAAAGTTGAAAAATGCAACAAAATAAAAAAAACTATAAAAAACAAACAAATGATGACCACAGACTACACAGAAACTCGTCTAAACCTGAAGCCATGTTCCTGTATTCACAAGATGGACAGGTGTGTCAGCCATGTAATCACAGAATATGGAGGACATGTGATACCTGTTGCTTTAACTGTGTCTTTTGTAGACCAGTTCTAGCTCAGGGTCACATTCTTCAAAGCGCCCGTAGCGCTACAACAGTTGTAAGTCTATGTTAAAATATGGGAGTTACGATCATCTTAGTGCTACGAACGCTTTGAGGAACGGGGCCCTGGTCTTCATCGGCCATATTGTAAGACAGACCTACTACACTAGAAATAGGCTATCAAAAGGAATTGTCTGGATTTATCTTGTGTCACTTCAGTAGATATCAATCAGAAATTGCAAAAGATTTTTTTTTTTTAAATTAATATTTATACCACATAGAACTCATGAATGGTCAATGCTATTTATGTGTATGGCTGAAAAATATAGTCACTACTATTTCCTGTGCAGAGTTGCTTCCCTTTGGAATGCCAGGAGTGTATGATCATGGTTACAAACCCTGGTTCGTCCTGAATAGGTTTCTGGGTTTGTCAGCCCCATAATATTGCTTGTGGGTTTCACCAAAGTGGTGAAGATCCATGACCAGAATAACCTTTCAGCCATCAGCCATCATGACCTAGACCTCCTTACAGTTTTTGGTTGCAATACAATTGCTCTGATATTGTTTGTAGTCCTAAGTCATTCAATCACTCGCAGTTTACCATCTCTAGAATCATTGGTTTTCACTGCCGATGTCCTCAGCCAAAGGTATGAAAGTAGAGGTATCAGTGTAATATGTCTGGGAGAGTTTTCAATTCTTGTTATTCGTTTCTAATCAGAGAGGCAGATCAGGACTGAGAGAGCTGGCACATGTCCAGGCAAGGTGTCGGCAAGATAAACCTGATATTGCCACACCAGGAATAGGATCTTGTAGGTTAGCATGGCATTAATTTCTCAATGAGAATCATCACTTTGCTCTATATTAATGTGCTGAAAAGATTAGATTAGATGGAGCTTGAAGCTACCTTATGCCACATAATGGCATACCTATGTATTACAAACCCGTGAAGATCCAGGTTAGAATTGGTCTTCAGCAACCCATGCTTGTTGTAAGAAGCGATTAAAGGGATCTGGTGGTCAGGCTCACTGACTTGGTTGACACACATAGATTGATGTTCATGCTGTTGATCACTGGATTGTCTGGTCCAGACTTGATTATTTACAGACCGATGCCATATTGCTGGAATATTGCTGAGTGCGGCGTTGCATTAAAACATATACTGTTAGATTCATTGGTCTTAACATGACACCATGGTAAAATGGTGTTCAAACAAAGATTTCATGCCATGGGGATTCTAAACTAGAGTAACTCGGTTGACGCATTATTAGTTACACTGTGTTTTGAAAGGGTGTATGGGACTCGAAATACGGAATTTACAAGTGTCTTACAGTTCCGTACACCCTTTCAAAACCCTGTGTGACAAATTTATTACCCTTAAGCTCTTTTAATTTAGCTTATCTTTAAACAACAATATATTTAACCTTTGGTAGAATGAGATGCAAAACTTTTCGCCAATATTATTCCTGAACGGTCATAAAGGTAGATAACTCAGTATGGCTTAGTTTATGATAAAAATTATCGAATGGGAGGTTTTGTTAAACCACAAGTGGAATACAGAAACATTTTATTTTTATCCCCCACAACGCGTTTTGCCGGGGGTATTAAAATGGACTCCGTCCGTCCGTGCACATTTGTCTTTTCCGGATCAGAACTCTAAAACCATTCAATATTTCTTCACCAAACTTGGCTTATAGATAGATCTGGTGGTGTACTGGTGCCTTTTTGGTAGTTTTGGATTTCTGAATAAAATATTTTTGGCATTTCCATGGCAACAAGTTTGACATAGACTGAAATTGGTGATAGTGCTCCTTTCTGGAGCAGAACTTTAAAAACCTTTCAATACGCTCCTTCCACTTTTCTATATACTCACCTAAATATTTGACATAATCATAACTCGTAGACATAATCATGAAGTGTATTTTGCCATTGAGGGGGATATTGATGACTTTGTCTTCTTGTTTATATATATTTATTGACACAAACAAATAACAAACAAATATACAATTTTATTACTCTGTTTATACTCATAATTGTATACGCCAAGTATAATTTCAAAGCGATCAGCTAAGGTCAAAGTTATTCGTACAACCCATGTAGTGTGTCACGTGACAGATCTGATGGGGTGTACGGTTCATACACCCTGGCAAATCCACCTACATGGTTTGGCATGCTTTGGCTATCGACCAATCAGAATTCGACAAATTTATCTTAAGGGTAATAAGTCATTATATCCCAGTCATTATATCCCATTGATGCTCATAATGCCAGTCACTAGTTTGTATATAATAGAGGCTGTACCAGGCAGACTGCCATCATACAGCTGGAAAATTGCTAAGTGTAGTGTTGAACAACGAACAAACAAATCTAAATCTTGAGTAAGTGTATACATTTTGAGAATGGGAAAGAACCAGACCATTGCCTTAATTTTGTCTATATCTGTACAATTACACCAATGTCTGTGTAGGTCATGTTTCTAGACTATAGGATGATCATTGATACTCACCTGTGCTCGTTACTTCAGGAATATCAAATAACCATTGATGTTGACCTATGTGAATATAGGGTAACCACTGATATTCACATGTGTCTTATACTTCTGGAATATACAATAGCCATATGATAATATTCACCTTGTTTTATACCTATGGGATATAGGATAACTACCGATATTCCTCAATGTCTATTACTTCAGGAATTTGGAATAACCATTAATTTTCACCTGTGTCTGATACAGCTTAATCATAGGTTGACCTTTGATATTCACCTATATTCTCTGGAATTTGTTTGTTTCAGATGAGAGACCTGGAGGAAAAGCTGTCAATGAGTGAAGCTCGGGCTGAGACAGCAGAACAACAGGTAAGTCTTGTGAATAGTGGGCAGTGATTATCATAATGGCTGTGGAAAGTGTGCTTCAAGGACTGTGATAGTGTGCTTAGTGTACTCATATGGTGTGCTTAGTGAACAGTGATGTGTACTGATAGTAAACAGTGTTTTATCACAGACTGTACAACATCATCATTGGTCAGTCAGCAGTGCTCCTGTAGGTCTGCGGCTGTTAGAGCTCTCCTGTCTTGGTACAACAACTTCTCTGTTCAGAATAGTTTGATCCATGCTGAACCATGAGTTTACATTAGTAGATAAATCCAAACATACAGCAGCTCAATTGTAAACCTTCCTTCCAGTCTTAGTATATCAAGGGCAGGTTTGTACAATGTTAACGTGGTCCCTGGTTTACCAAGAGTTTACACTAGTAGATAAATACTCACATACAGCAGCTCAATTGCAAATCTACCCCTACTATCCTATATCTCAGTCTATCAAGAACAAATTTATGCAGTGTTTAAATGGTTCTTGCTCTACAAAGTGAAGTAAGAGCAACAGGGATTCAATATAGCACTTGGACTTACAATCTAGCAGCTTACGGTCACTTTGCATTAGTAAAGATATACAACTGTAAACCAATATAGTTGTAAACCAATACAACTGTAAACCAATATAGCTGTAAACCAATACAACTGTAAACCAATATAGCTGTAAACCAATACAACTGTAAACCAATATAGCTGTAAACCAATACAACTGTAAACCAATATAGCTGTAAACCAATACAACTGTAAACCAATAAACCAATACAACTGTAAACCAATACAGTTGTAAACCAATACAACTGTAAACCAATATAGCTGTAAACCAATACAACTGTAAACCAATACAACTGTAAACCAATACAGCTGTAAACCAATACAACTGTAAACCAATATAGCTGTAAACCAATACAACTGTAAACCAATATAGCTGTAAACCAATACAACTGTAAACCAATACAACTGTAAACCAATACAACTGTAAACCAATATAGCTGTAAACCAATATAGCTGTAAACCAATACGGTTGTAAACTAATACAACTATAAACCAATATGGTTGTAAACCAATACAACTGTAAACCAATACGGTTGTAAACCAATACAACTGTAAACCAATACAACTGTAAACCAATACAACTGTAAGCCAATACAACTATAAACCAATACAACTATAAACCAATACAACTGTAAAGCAATACAGCTGTAAACTAATGCAAGTGTAAACCATTCTTGGGATCCTACTGAAGCTGACTGTTATCCTTATAAATTACAATGTGACCTATTGTCCTTTAGTCTCCCATACCCCAGTGTCCTGGTGTTAGTTCAAAGACTATAATGTACAGCTCTTGCTTGACATACCAGAATTACACTCACATCGTGCTGGTTCTTCTACGACTTGAATTCTCTTATTTCAGGATTACCCTTTCCATTTTTAACTGAATGTGATCTGTAAGTAGATAGTTAGACATTTTATAATTACTAGATACCGCCCTATGGCAATGCAGCAGCCTCGAAGTTAACTCTTAACCCGAAGTAGATGGGGAGTTGTACTAATGACTACTCTCGAACTGAATTTCTCCATACAACGAGTGCCACATCATAGAGACTAAGCTGTAAAAACTATTCTATAAATCTTTAGAATTTAGTTTAAAAATAAGTCATTATTCCTAACAACATACATACTTGTACTTTTCAAGTATTTTTTGAAAGAATCTTCCCTCCTTTGATGTTTTCATTATAGATGAAACTTTACTTTGTTTAGTTCGAGGACATTACCTAGGCTGTAGAAAAAAAGTGAAATTGAAACTGATATAGGTTCCACAGCCATGGTGCAGGACTAGACAACAGTGTGTAGCCAAGGGAGTGTTGGGATGCCTTATACCTACCATTCTGATGTAACGTGTTACAGATTTAGGGGTTACCTACTTTCAAATACCTTAGTAGATGATAACACCACCACTGAACCAGGAAGACACCTTCATCTCAAACCCTAGTCATGAACTTCTTTTTGACCCATTTTAAAAGTTTGGATGTACAATATAGACAAACTTTATGGATAACAACTTCTTTATTATCCCCCGCCTCGCGTTTAGCATGCGAAAGGTCCTAGTCAGGTTTGACTTGAAGGTCACAAGGGGACTTTAGCGTTTTACCCTTGTCAGAGAGATATCTCAAGAACCGTTCACTGACTTTTCTTCATATTTGACACCAAGCTTCATCTCGGGAATGCGCAGGGCCCAGTCAATTTTGGTGACCTTCATGAAATTTTCAAGGTCACACCGACACTTTGAAGATTTCAGTATGTTAAGATTGTCATCATGATATCTCAAGAAAAGTTCACTGCACTTTCAAGACTTCTCTTGAATGTTTTTTGATAAGCAATTTCTTTATTACTATTTTCTTGCTTATTTCATACACAATGACATTCCTGTCAAGGTCACAGTGAGTCTTGAAAATATTTGTGTGGTTGAACAGTTACAGAACAAGATATCAAGAGAGGTTGACTGGTCATGTTTTTGTAGACAATTAACTTCATCTTAAACTACGACCTTCACTTTCATTACTTTTTAAGTTTGATTTGATAATTTGTGGTGGGGGATTATGTCACCTTTGTGACAACTGCTTGTTTTGTGTGTGTGAAGTTTCAATACAGATTCTTGTACTGTTGTCCTGGCCATGAAGTTGTTTATTTTTATATTTCTTCTGTTGTAATTGGTTAATGGTTTGTTCATCCCACTAGGACTGTCAGTGTACTCAGATGACTTGTGTTTGGTACACAGGGCTCGATTTAGTGCTTTGTTACTTGCACTGGTGCAATCCAATATTACAAAATGCAACCTAGTTATTAGTCTAACTTGCAGCAGTTTTGAAACTTCAGCCGGAAAACAGAATGAGGGACTGACCGTGAAGAGGGACTCTAATGACTGTATGAGCAGTGACTGAAGGACTTACTGTTCATGAAATTTTAGGAAGTAATTTAAGATAACTAATCCTATCAGTCCCAGATTTCTTTTGTTATAATGTTCTAAACTATCCAAAACTCAAGCATCATATTTTATACAAGATTTTATATTGAGCAGCAGGTGCAACCTGTTTTTGTCTGATGCAACAAGGTTTCTACCTAAGGTTGCACCGGGTGCAAGTAGGTTTCATTTCTTTAAATCGAGCCCTGGTACATGTAATTGGTGTCCCTTGCTAGATACTGCTGAGACAGGCATTACATTAGTTACAGTAACTCTGTGGGACAGATACCATACTAGAGGGGTTTGAAGGGGGGTACCTTAAGCATGGGGTAGTAGATCTCACATTTCTCTTCTGTGATGTCATCCAACATCCAATAGCTACTGATGTTGATTGACAGTGAAACTTCACATTTCATTTGGAATATTCAAATTCAAAATTCAATTGTTTATTCTATTAAAGTCCACAGGCTCACATACATGAAGTGCATTTGGCATTGTATATGATCATTTTAACAAAAGATTCATATCTCATTTCAATTTGTTTCTGTTCTTGAAGGCATATTTGAAGTATATCATAACAGATTATAAACTTTAACAACTGTTCCAAGAACTATTTTGGTATACAGGCTTAAATTGTTTTTGTATTCCTTGTTCATACCATACATATTGCAAATAAAGTTCAGTTGAGCCCTGCCTCGATTACGATTGGCAAACCAACGGACACAGTAAATGAAACACAGTGAAATGTACTAGTAAGATAGCTGTACTGTGATGATACACCCATACAGAATAAATACATTATGCATTATGATAATGATCATAAAAGTAAATGCGACTTTATACATTAAAAATTTAAAACAAAAATAATTATCAATAATATTTCATTGTGGTGGAATCAACACAGATTGGGAATATATTGGCATTTTGAACATGGTGGAAAGTGAACCTGCCATTAAGGAGGTAAAGAGTATAAAAGATGTGTCAGTGTTCAGCCCATGTAGTACCTAATGTGTTCATGATTCACTGCAGGAGATTTTATGATCTTTCATTGTTTCCTGCACTTCGATATTTGCATACACGTACTCTACACTGAAATTGATCTTTGTTTTTCCGGCCTTGAGGTTTCCAAATCTTTGGTGAAATGGCGTCTTTGTGTCCTTATCTTGTATTAAATGTCTATAAAAATTGTCTTCAATCTGGCGTGCATGTGAATGCCATGCCCCCCATGTTCGAATTGAAATTGTTTTATCTCTCTCATGTCTTGAATGTTTCGATTCCACTGTGAAATAGCCTAAAACGTCCTATCTTAGGCGTTCAATATGGGGAATGAAAATAAAGCTGTAATGTTTTTTCCTTTTGAGGATTCTTAATCTTGCTTTTTAAGACTTGTTGGTTTTAGACCAACACTGTTCCCACACAACTAGCGCCTGTCCTGAAGCCCGGTTCATTTACCTATGAATTACGGATTTTGAATGCTTCAAACAGAATCTTGGACAAATAGTAATTTGTCTTTCCAAACATAATATGAACCATTTGCTGTTCCAGAAATTTGTACATTTGCTTGAATTACTTAGATAATCTGTGAATGGGGAGTGAGTTATCAGCATTGATGGCTGTTGTTGCTGTTCTGCTCCTGGGCTTACAGGTCTGTTTGTACTAGATAACCAGGAAACTCATTGCGAGCTGTTTCTGATACCAGGCCCTGCCACACACAAGGCCAGCTGGGACTATATTGTGTACTGAGGCCTGATCCGTAATTACCCTTCTCATTTGAACACTACAAATATATCTCAATGAAATATTATTCTCTTGCCAATCAAATGCCATTTTGAAAAATTATTTGTTTTCCATTCTTTTCCACTTCGATTCAGAAATATTATACTGATCACCCACGCAAAACACAACTATTGACTGGGTTGAAGACCTTTCTTGGTTTTGATGCCATGGTGTTCAGAAGTAAAGTGTGTGTATACTACACATATCGCAACCATTATGATTTTCCATTTGGAACTGCCTGCTCATGTCTG